ATGTAGCAAGAAATGCATATTTTTGCATAGTTCAAATGACATTAATGAAGCTTAGGACCAATAATGTCCCTAGCAAAGTGGAAATCAAACCTTGGAATGACGTCACACTCAACAGGTTTAAAAAGATTATAGTAAAGCAGTAGGATGCAATAACACACCAATTAATTGTTCTTACGGTGCTGCTGAAATAGTTTTAAATTAAAATAGTGTAAAGTGATTTCACACTATGACCCTAAAGGGGTCATATGCTGCTTCTTTGGCATGGCTGAGTGCCTTTAGTTGATTTAGTTGTGTATGTTGTTATTATTATTGTTGTGTGTTTGCTTGTCTGTACTGTATATATTTGACCTTTTGCACGGGAGCTGCAATGGAAATTTCGTTGAATTCTGTTCAGTGACAATAAATGCTATCTATCTATCTCTATCTATCTATCTAAAGCAGGGGTCACTAACCCCCAGTTTCCACATCCTCCATCAGCGCCCCGCTCACGTACGTCATGCGGATCACTTGTCTTTCATGTTAACCAATGAGAGCTGTTCCACATCCTCTGCACGTCTCCTTCCATGTACGTCTTCTCTGTCCTTCACCGTCAAAATACTGAGCACAGCTATTTTTTGCTCTGCTCCAGGTCATGACCTGCAGTTGCAATCACACCAAACAAAATTAAAATATAGTAACAGCAGATCAGGAATTACACATTAGAGCACAATTCTTATATATTCCCAAAAACAAAGACCAATTAATTAAATGATTGGATGCAAACTACTGGTTCTTCAACAAACCAGGAAGCAGATTTCTCATCTCCATCAAAATGTCTATTTTATATCGAGGGGCTTAAAAGTTTAATGAAATCCAGTCGAAACTTCTAAAAGCACCACACAAATTCAAAACAAACTTCTTATTGCAGGATGAAGAAAAGCAGAGAACAAACGTAGTTCATACAAACCAGGTATGATCCTAGTTATCCCTGTTACAAAAATCCACAACAAAAAGAAAATATTTGGGCAGAAACTGAACATCTGCTGGATGCTGATGGGATTTTTTTAATTGCGTCATATTAAATTAAGCGTTCACAGGGTTTATACAGGAATGACTAACTCTAATTTAATGCTCTTTTAATGCTATTAGAAATACCTTTAATGCCATCAACAACAAAAGTTATCCATGTACATGAAATAAGGAGCCGTAAGCACAGTTCCATGACTCTTGTATGTATGTAACATATATATATATATATATATATATATATATATTAGTGCTGTCAATCGATAAAATTTTTTTAATCGCGATTAATCGCATCAATGCCTGAGTTAACTCGCGATTAATCGCATTTTAATCGCACATTTTTTTCCTGATTGAAAATA